GATATGTTTAGATACACAAATACTTGCCATTGTGTTACATTTGCCTACAGTATTCAGTATAGCAACATGTCATACAGGTTTATAGCCTAGAAGCAATAGGCTATACTACATAGTCTAGGTGTGTAGTAGACTATACCATAGAGGTTTGTATAAGTACACTCTGTGATGTTCACACGATGATGAAATTGCCTAACAATGCATTTCTCAGCACGTATCCCCATCATTAAGTGATGCATAACTCTATATACACGTGTGTGTACCCCTTCGTTTAAAGAAGAAGGCAATCCTGACACTTTTGACAAAATGGATGAACTGGGAGGATATTATGCTAAATGAGATAAGCCAAAAACAGAAAGACAAATACTGCATTATTGCATGGTCTCACTTATATGACTGGGGGGTGGGAAATGGGAAGATGATGGTCAAATGGTACAAACCTTCACTTATAAAATCAATAAGTTCTGGGGATCCAATGTGCAGCATGGTGACTATAGTTAATAATGCTGTGTTTTATACTTGAAATTTGCTAAGACAGTAGATCTTATGTCTTCTCACCACACACATGCAAAAAATGGCAGCTGTGAGGTGACAGATGTGTTAATTAGCTGATTGTGGTTATCATTTTACAATGTATGCAAATATAAATCATTATATTGTACACCTTAAAAATATACAATTTTATTTTTCAAATATACCTCAATAAAGCTGGAAGAAGTGCTCATTGACAGATGAATGAATAAAGAAAAAATGTGTATTTTTATATGAAATTGAATATTATTCAGCCTTTAAAAAAGAGGAAATCCTGTCATACGAGATAACATGCATAAACCTGGAGGACATTATGTTAAGTGAAATAAGGCAGTCACAGAAAGACAAATACTACATGATTTCACTTATATGAGGTATCTAAAATAGTCAAACTCATAGAAGCAGAAGGTAGGATGGTGGTCGCCACAGGCTGGGTATGAGGCGAGAGTTCTTGTTCAATTTATATAGATTAAATTATGCAATACGAAGAAATTCTAGAGATCTGCTGTACAACAATGTACATAAAGTTATAAATAGTGTTCTGTACAATTAAAAATTTGGTACGAGAGTAGACTTCATGATATGTGTGGTTTTTTGTTCTGTTTTTTGTTTTGTTTTTTGCTTTTACCACACACACAAAAAGAACAAATCTTGTCTTTTTCTAGAGCAAGGATATTTTTGTTTTTGTTTTTCAGATGGAGTGTCACTCTGTTGCCCAGGCTGGAGTGCAGTGGCGCAATCTCAGCTCACTGCAACCTCCACCTCCCAGGTTCAAGTGATTCTCCTGCCTCAGCCTCCCCAAGTAGCTGGAAGTACAGGCACATGCCACCACACCTGGCTAATTTCTGTATTTTTTTTTCCTGACCTCAGGTGATCCATCCGCCTCGGCCTCCCAAAGTGCTGGGATTACAGGCGTGAGTCACCACGCCAAGCCTAGAGCAAGGATTCTGAAGCTAGGGTCTATACGTCTCAGCCCAAACTATATACAGCATTGAGTGAACATGTGTAGCTTTCAGGGGGAGAGAGTGCATAAGGTTCTATAGAATCTCAAAAGGCTCCTCATTCAAAAAGGAGCTGGATTAGATCCCACTGGGGAGCAAAAAATAAAAATTAAAAAAAACTGATAACGACAGCAAAAAAGCTAGAGGCACTGTGATGAGGAAAATTGTATTCAAATTTGAGTTTTTCAAAAAGATTCAGCCAAGGAAGTTTTTTTTAAAAAAGTTCAGAGAAGGACTCCTATTTCAGTCTTCCTTCTTCTAAAAATGTAAACTTGTCAATAGATTTTGAATGAATACAAGACTCCTGAGAGGAATGTTTAATGAGGTGGAAGTACCTAGCCTGGTTTTAATTTATCTGTCCCTGGTTGGCCTTTTGCCCACCTCCTGGGTCTACTCCTTTGTGGGTCTTTTGTTATCCTTCCTGACTTTTGAATATTAGCATAATATTTTAAATATTAGCATAATCCAGGATTCTACTTTCTGGGTGAGATTCTAATTTCTCTGGGTGAGATTATATACCACAAATAATGGCTTCAGTTATCATTCAAATGTGTATTATCAATCACCACCCCTTCCTTGATATGCAGTTTCCTATTTCTACCAGCCTAGTGGACTTTCCACCTTTTCCCCACAGGCAATTTAACATACTTTAGAATGAATTTATCATCTGTCTGATGGCTCCAGCATGTGCATGCACACTTCACACACACACACACACACACACACACACACACACACACACACAGAGTAATATACCCCTCAAATGTTCTCCATTGCTTTATTTTTACTTGGTTCAACTCTATCATCAAGAGTTTGTTTGCACATATACTACGTTTAGGCACTTGCCAGGAAGTAGTCACAGAATTTGCAAACTGTAGAGGAACTTAAGAAATCAAGTCGCTCAACTCCTTCAATTTACAGAGAGGGTGACATCCTTAATATTGCCAGTGAATTAATGGCAGAACTAGCTTAGAATCTAGGCATCTCAAGTTCTACCCTGTACCCTTTCCACTATGCAATCATGCTCCCACTAACTGTATACTTCCAAAGAAGAATGAGATGCCTGCTAGCAGCACTGATTTTTATCAATAAAGAAGCAAGATAATCTAGTCACCTTATGTTCAAAATATCTACTACTTATGCACTGTTTGTACAAGGGGCTAGGTAATTTATGTTCTGCTGTAATGATGAAAAGGATAAACTGAAGAGTGCAACAAGACATCATTGTAGAGTAAGGCTTGGAATGAAAATAGATTAGTTAAAGGCTAGCTCAGTGCTTGCTTTCATAATAAGGTTGCGAGATGATTTTTACTTTTTCCTTACCAAAGTGTTTTCATATGTATTATTTCATCTTAGTCTCTCAACAGGCCTGGGAGGTAGGAAAGTCAGGGCTTATTAGCTAAAGTTTACAGAGGAAGAACAGGAGACTGAAAAGAGTTAGCTCAGTGATTTGCCCAAGGTCACCCATCTAGTTAGTGACAAGACCAGGGCTCAGATGTGTGTCTACTGCTTCCAAATGTCTTTCCTCTAGTCTAGACACATAATTCTAATAGTCCTTGAGTGATGACTATATATCCTGTGAACTGAACTTTACAGATATGCTGGGACTGAAACACGCTGGGTTCTACCAAGTGACATGGAAATATTATCCAAAAAAGAAAAAAATGCTTAGTTTCAAGGTGGGGCAGGGCAAATGAATGTTATAACATAGGTTAACACAAGTAAGAATCAACAAGTTGAGTTGCCATTTTATCAAATGTTCTGCTTTCAAGTAAGGAAAATATAAAACAATAAACATGATCAAGACGGTCTTTGTAGGTATAAAAGCCTAAAAGATCGAGGATGGTTTCCCATGTGAATCATCTCTAAGGACTTTAAAAAGGCAGGCTATAAACAGCTAAATTGCCATTTTATTAAAGAAAAGTCAGGGTAATATGCAGACAGTCCAGGGGGGGCTGAGAAAAAAGGATTGATGCAGGGGGGTGACTTTGAGAGACATTTCAGTGGCATGCTGCAGCACACCGCAGGCTGCAGTGTGTTGAAGAGGCAGTGACAGGTGAGGAAGTAGAAGTAGAGAGTGGAAACCTTGACCGCAGAAAGCTGGCTGTGAAGGAAGGGGCCGCAGCGTGTTTGTTGGCCATGAAGAAGAAGCTGCACAAGAACAGGGGAAGAGACTGAACAGGCGAGACAGAGTGGGAACATCCTGTTGAGTCACAACTGAGTTGTCAACACTTTCTCCGCTAGTGAGAGGCCCTTTAAAAATTCACTGCCCGCATGTGGCTTCAGAGAAAACACCTCAAAGAGAGACGATAACCTGTCCAAGTGAAGGCAGAGAAATCAGCACAAGATTCAGTAACAAACTCGCTTTTCAGGACTATTATTGTGGCTGTTTGGTCTGTTATAAAAGTCCAGCTCAGAAACTACAAGGTCAAGCTCGAACAGATGTGCAGAGATGTTCTGGACCCAGTCTAAAAGCTGATTCTTCCCGAAGGCACAACATTATTAATTGGCCAGCTTATCAATGGATGCTCTTTCCTGTAGGTTTGTTTAGAGACAATACTGCTAGTCATAAAGTTTGCTGATTGCTGGCTTGCTCATCTCAGTGGGGCAAGTGCAAGGCCGTGCCAGGAACTCCAGATGACTGGAACATACACAAGCACAGTGCTACCCATAGACGCCAACACTGAGCCAGGGTGCGGGGAAGCCCGAGCAGGGGGCATCCTCAAAGTGCTTCTTTATTTAAACTATGCTCTGGGGCAAAGTTTCATAATGACCCCACACACCTAGCGCGTACACACAGAGCAGCCTACACACACAGAGCAGCCTACACACACAGCCTCACTGTGTCCCCTGGCCTGCTTGCTTTACTTTCCACCCCTCTAGGCAAGGTCCACAAATTAGCAGCCTTTTAACCCTCCCAGATCTCCGTTCTCGGGACCTTCAGAAGAAAAAGGCAGTCAGAGAAACATGAACGCGCTAATCAGGAAACCAGCGTTTCAGCCCACTCAGCCACGCGGGCCGTCCACACTAACGACTTTCACCTCCCCTCGCCTGGACTGGCTGGAGGGGCGGGGAACCCGGCAGTAAAGAGGAGGACCAAAGAGGGGCCCTGCTTGAATGAAACAATGTAACAATTGATGTGAGGCCTCGCCTCGCTCCCACTCCCCAGCGATCCTATAGGCGAGGTCCCAGTGACTGCCCCTCCCCATTGCTCCGTTTTCTTGTCCATTACGCGCTATCCCTCCGCCTCTCCTTCTTTCTTTTCTTTTCTTTTTTTCCCTTCTCCTTTTCCCCCCTCTCTCCCCCTTTCTCCAGCTCCGTGTCATTTCCTCCTTGCGCTCGCTCGCTGCCTGAGCGTCTCCAGCCGGGAGAGTAGGCGGAGCAGGGCGGTGCGGGGTGGCGTAGAGCTGGAGGGCGATGGTGGCGGAGCTGCTGGGGGCGGAGGCAACGTAGCCCCCTCGGAAAAGGAGCCCGGCGGCGCCTGAGCCCAGCCGAGGATGGAGAACCGGCCTGGGTCCTTCCAGTACGTCCCTGTGCAGCTGCAAGGGGGGGCACCCTGGGGCTTCACCCTTAAGGGGGGTCTGGAACACTGCGAGCCGCTCACAGTGTCTAAGGTAAGAACTGGCGGCTCCTGTCCTAACGGCGCCCAACTTTGAATGGACAAGCGGGTGCGAAGGCTGCCGCTGAACGGGGCCCTCAGGCCAACTTTGAAACTTAGTTAGGGCTAGGAGCGAAAGCCCCTCTGAACGGCACGGAGGGGTCTTGCCACCAGTCCAGGTGCAGACATCCCCTAAGGGTGGCTGGAACACAAGCTGGGAGCACAACTAGCCCCCAGCTAGAGCCTTGCGCGCAGACACACTCGCGAGGGCGCTGGGGCAGACCTTGCTCCCCCACGTCGGGGCGGCTACTCCCCTCAGTTTGGGCTGGAGGAAGTGGAGGCCGTTGGGGATTTATCCTTGGAGGCCCCTGCGTCCCTACGGGACAGTGAAGGACTGAAGGGACAGTCATCGCGGCTTGGCAGCTCTCTTGGCAGTGTTGGCCCCTCCATCGACGGGCGGGCCGTCCCTCCCAGGCAGGTTGCAGGGCTAGGGGCCGGTGTGGGAACGGAGATGAGGCACTGGTGGCTTTTGCCAGCCTCACTTCCCACGGCCGACGCGCACAGAGCCATTCAGCTCTTGGGGCGTTGTTGCCGCCGGTTCGGCTCGGCCTCTCCCTCCCTCCAGAGTCCTGCCCCAGCGCCGGCGAGATTTCCTGCACGTTGAGAAGTGTGGAGGAAACTTTTGCGCCATGGAGCGCAGCTGTGCTGGAGCTGCTGCTGCTGCTGCTGCCGCCGCCGCCGCCGCCACCGCCGCCGCCGCCGCCGCCGCCGCCAGGGTTTGTTTGTTTTAGGAGTCTGTGATCTGCTGGAAACCAAGTTGCAGCTGAGGACAGGAGAGAGGAGCTCTCCTGAGTGCTCCAGAACCCCCAAAGCGAGCCTCCCCCGTAGGGGTGAGGGCGAGGGGAAGGGGCAGCTGGAGCTGTTACCAGGAAGAGTGACTTGTGGGACGACTCACCTTGAGGTGCCACATTGCCAAGTGAACGGACTTCACGAACTTTATTCCACTTTTTTGTTGTTGTTTCTCTTAAATCCTCAAATCCGAAAAGCCCTCCCCCTTCCAACCCGCTTAAATGGCAATTGAAGTTGTAGATGTGGGTTCAGGCTGGAGATAGAAAGATGTGTCTTTTCAGCAGGGAACAAATATCACTTTTTTTTTTTTTTTTTTTTGCGGGGGGGGTGGGGGTGGGGTTCAACATTGGTCACATCTCAGCAGAGGATTCAGCAAATGTATCCCGCAACACACACCCACAATAACCTGTGCGGCATTTTGCGGCATTCGCCTTGCATTGGAGCCGCTGGTTGACTTCCAGTGTATGGGATCCTTCAGGCCTTGGGGCCCACACTCTTAGGAACCCTGGAGTGTTGCCATGGGTGTACCAATCAGATTGAGGAGTCTGAGGTATGCTGAGGCAACATTTTGGGGGGCTGGCAGGGACCCCTGTGATCATTAGCCTCCCCAAACTAGCTCAGATCTTCATATAGCACCCTTTCCCCCATACTTGTCATGTACTTTAACTAGCCTGAGATGCCTTTGTCATCCACCGTCACAACCCCTCCTGAGGCAGTCTCCCTCCAGTGTTCTCTGGAGAAAATTATGTGCTTTTTTTTTTTTTTTTTTTTTTTTTACAAGCCAGGAACTATAATGGTGAAACATATCGTGAAATTCTGGAAGAAATTTATGATTTTAAAAAATATATAGCCAATCAATAGTTTACATGCAACTAAAGAATTTTTTTTTTTTTTTTTTTTTTTTTTTAAAAAACAAAAACACTCAACTCCTTTGGTGAGGGGAATCCTGGCCTTCAGGAATTTCTTCTAATCAAGCTCCTCCTCTCCCCTCTCTTTCCACCAAGGTCACAATGGGATATGCAGCCCTCTATGGTCTGGCAGTTCCTCCCTTTCTTTTTCTCCTCACACCGCCCACAAAATTTCCACAGTCTGCCTAGACAACCTGCCTTGGAGAGGTCACTTTTCAGCTCTGCCCAGAGCTGACCCATCTTGAGAAATACCCCAGAGAGTGCTTGCTGCTGTGGTCCTGGATTATTTTGTGAGCCAGTGAGAGCATGGCAGGGGGTGTTACTAAGTATGGGGCAGCCAGCAATTTGTGGTCTGGCTGGGGGATTATTTGAGGGTAGATGAGGGTTTCCTTGGCCAAGCTGTAGAGGAAGTGCTCCGTGTGTTGAGAGGCAGGGTGCCTTCTAATGATTCCCTTTCCACTGAATGTACAGTTGACCCCTATTATATGAAGGCTTATTATGACATGCATTTAGATATGCAAGGGGTAAAATTATTTCTCCCATTCCTCCTAAATAGCCTAGTTCTTTTTTTTTTCCTTCTTTTTTTTTAAATTATACTTTACGTTCTAGGGTACATGTGGATAACGTGCAGGTTTGTTACATATCTATACTTGTGCCATGTTGGTGTGCTGCACCCATCAACTCGTCAGCACCCATCAACTCGTCATTTACATCAGGTATAACTCCCAATGCAATCCCTCCCCCCTCCCCCCTCCCCATGATAGGCCCCGGTGTGTGATGTTCCCCTTCCCGAGTCCAAGTGATCTCATTGTTCAGTTCCCACCTATGAGTGAGAACATGCAGTGTTTGGTTTTCTGTTCTTGCAATAGTTTGCTAAGAATGATGGTTTCCAGCTGCATCCATGTCCCTACAAAGGACACAAACTCATCCTTTTTTATGGCTGCATAACAGTAAAAGTCAGTTATAACTGGGTTGGCCTCAACAGTATAAAAAGGGACCATAGTATTTTTTAAGCACAATGATTGCCTGTATTGTGTTTTTCTTGACAAGACACTGTTTTGGCATATTTCATTAATTCCCTCTTCATTTTTCAACCTTAATTTTATTTCCTTTTATGATTCAGAACAAAATATCTTTCTCCTTGAAAACAGCCTTCTTAGTCTGTACACACTGATTGGGATGGGTGGAAGGGAATAGAAAGATAATTAGGTTAGCAGATTAAAAACTTGGGTTCTAATCCTTTTTCTGCCACTCTCTATTTCTGGAATCCTAGGTATATCACTTGCCCTACCTGGGTCTAGGCATCCCCATGTCTAAAGTGACATTCAAGTGGGTGGTCTTTAAATGATACTATGACAATCTAGTAGCCATTTTTTTGTTTGTTTGTTTTTGAGACAGGGTCTCACTCTGTGGCTCAGGCTGGAGTACAATGGTGCCAGCTCGGCTCACTGCAACCTGTGCCTCCCAGGCTCAAGCAGTCCTCCCACCTCGGCCTCCCAAGTAGCTGGGACTACAGGCACACGCCACCACGCTTGGCTAATTTTTTGTATTTTTGGTAGAGACGGGGTTTCACAATGTTGTCCAGGCTGGTCTCGAACTCCTTCAAGCAATCTGCCCACCTCAGCCTCCCAAAGTGCTGGGATTACAGGCATGAGCCACCACGCGCCTGACCGAATAGCCAATCTTTTATGCTGGCTCTGGCTCTCTTCTCAGAAGTGTTGCTGCAGAGTGAGGAAAATGAAACTTTGCTTCATTTGCATACAGTGTTACTATTTACAATGTGCTTCCTCATCCTTTATTTCATTACTCTTGCAGCCACACTGTGAGGCAGTCAGGAAAGATTGTGGAGAAACTGATGTAAAAACTGAGACTGATGTATTCAGTGGCTTACCTATGTCTATCATATGGAGAGTCAATGGCAGTCCTACTAAGAGAGTTTCCAATTCCTCTGCTAGTACTGTGGTTTGTGAAGGAGTACAGGGCAATAACTTTCAGGGATGTATCTCATCTTATTAGCCTGCTAATGCAGTGTCCCTTTCCATGCCAGCCTGTAATTCCACACTAAGTGAGGACTGGGTTGTAGGTACACTCTGATGGAGTCTGGGTTCAGAGTAGGAAAGGACTGTTTTGATGACTCCAAATCACTTGTGATGATCTCAGGTCAGGGAGAGACAGAGTTAAGGTGCAGGAACCATGGTGGAAAATGGCAGAGAACCTCCTTTGCAGAAAAAAAAAACAAAACACAGAAACGGTTTGCATCAGGGATGGTGTGGCATACATGCTCAGAGATATCTTGTGGCATAAGTGGAGATATCTGGGGAGTGGGGGAATTTGAAAAAGTAGTAATTAGTGGGAGAAGAGGGCATGCAGTGTGAAAGTCTAGTTCATAGTTGTCATGGGAGACCCTTTGGACCAGGAAATGATCAAGTTGGGAAAATCATCAATTCCTGCTGGTTCCTATGATTTCCTTGAATATGGGGAATTCAACTGCCTGATTTATGGACACTTGTATAGTCTCTCCCTGACAATCAAGTGGCAAAGAAAGATAAATTTTTTTAATACTGTTGCTGGATGTGGTGTCTTGCACCTGTAGTCCCAGCTACTCAGGAGGCTTAGGTAGGAGGAATCCCTGTAGGAGGAATTCCAGGCTGTAGTGTACCATAATTGGGCAACATAGTGTGACCCCACCTCTAAAAAATAAAATGCTATTGATTATCCTAAATAATAGGGGATAGTTTATGATGCTTCCCTATATTGTGGTGTTTCGAGTGAGATCATGGTAACAAGTAAAAGATACATGACTGCTAAAGGAATAGGGTCCATGACATTGGCATTATTGATTCCTTTGGTTAACATGTTACAGTACCTCATTGACCCAGGAGTACTGTCTGGATGGAATGGGGATAATTAGATGTGTCTGATGATATGTAGGCTCATGCTACATATTTTCCCTTTCCTTGGCTCATTTATGGTAGATGTTTCTATCTGGCATAGTGAAGCAAGGGGGGCTAGTTACTGCCCTGGAACAAAACAGGGTGGGATAGGGGAGTAGCCTGGAGGAGAAAGAAGCTTCACCCCCGTCCACTTGATGTGCTCTGATATTGCTTTATAATTTTACCCTCTCTAGACCCAAATCGCTATTTGCAGAGTGGAGGCTAGGCTTAACTGCCCCATCTCTATTATCACAGATGATGTGACAATGAATTAGGCAAACTCTAATACTGTTTGCTGTCCTTAGCCTAGGACAGTGGCAGGATGT